CGTGGTAGTTGTCATAGAAGAGTCGAAAAATCTATCAGTGTTGACGAAGGAAGAGCTTCAAGGGACTCTTGAGTCTCATGAACAGAGGATGGCTGAGAGAGCTGCAGGAAAGTCGAAAGATATGGCTTTGCAGGCAGAGTCAGAAAAGGAAAGAAAAGGCAAAGGTAGCTGGAATGACAACAAAGGAGGAAACCAGTCGAATCAGAAGAAACCTTGGAACCAAGGAAACCAAAGAGGTGGTGCTGCAGGTAAAGGAAGAGGTGGTGATCGAAAGACAGACAAAAGCCACATTCAATGTTTCAATTGCCAGAAGTATGGTCATTATGTTAGTGATTGTCCAGAAAGAAAGAGAAATCAAGAGACTGATGCAAAGCTGGCGAAACATGAAGAAGAAGAAACGTTGTTAATGGTCACAACAAAAGATGAAGAAAGATTCCAAGATCAGTGGTACTTGGACTCAGGATGCTCATCACACATGACTGGAAGGAAAGATTGGTTTGTCAACATGTAGCCCTCGTCGAAGAACACAGTGAAGTTTGCAAATGACAACACTCTAGCAGCTGAAGGTGTTGGTGATGTTCTGATTATGAGGAAAGATGGCAAAAGGTCAACAATTTCCAATGTGTTGTACATACCAGGCATGAAGAGTAATTTGCTCAGTATAGGGCAGCTTGTCGAAAAGAACTACAAGGTAGTTGTCGAAGACAAGATGATGAGAGTTCTCGACGCAGGTGGTAGATTAATCTTGAAGGCTCCAATGTCTCAGAATAGGACCTTCAAGATTGGACTCAATGTGATGGAGCACAGATGTCTAGCAACTGCAGCCAGCAGAGATGAGTGGTTATGGCATTTTCGACTAGGTCATCTCAACTTTAATGACATCAGAGAACTGAAGAGAAGAAATATGGTTTCAGGATTACCAGAGATCGACATTCCAAGTGAAGTCTGTGAGGAGTGTGTTCAGTCGAAACAACACAAGAATAGCTTCAGCAAGGATGCAGGAAGGAAGTCGAAGGCAATACTTGAAGTCATATACTCTGATGTATGTGGTCCAATCCAGGTGGATTCGATTGGTAGCAATAGATACTTTGTCACGTTTATAGATGATTACAGTCGAAAGCTGTGGACTTACCTCATCAAGAAGAAAAGTGATGTGATTGAGGTATTTTCCAGATTCAAGTCCATGGTCGAAAGACAGAGTGGCCGAAAGTTGAAAATTCTGAGGACTGATGGTGGTGGAGAGTATGTGTCGAAAGAGTTCGATACACTATGTGTGAAAGAAGGGATTGTACATGAGGTGGTGCCACCCTACACTCCACAGCAAAATGGGATTGCAGAACGCAAGAACAGAACCATCATGAATATGGTGAGAAGTATGGTGAATGGAAAGCATCTACCCAAAGAATTATGGGGAGAAGCAGTTTCGACATCAACATATATATTGAACAGATGTTCGACGAAGAAGCTTGAAGGAATCACACCAGAAGAATGTTGGTCTGGTATCAAGCCTAGTCTCAGTCACTTAAAGGTGTTTGGATCTATAGCACATAGACATGTGCCAGATCAGTTGAGAAGGAAGCTTGATGATAAGTCGAATCAGATGATCTTGATAGGATATCATTCGACAGGAGGTTACAAGTTGTTCGACCCAGTGAATAAGCAGGTGGTGATCAGCAGGGACGTGATCATAGATGAGCTTAAAGAATGGGATTGGACTGAGAATGCCAAGAAGGATTCAGTGAGAATCTCTTGTGAAGAACTAGCCATTGAAGTCGAAATAGAAGCTCGACAAGAACCAGTTGCAGATGAAGCAGGTTCAAGCAGACCTCGACGAACAAGACACATGCCTGAAAGGTTGCAAGAATGTGTAATCACATCAGATGATGTAGCCAATGAAGAGGGTGAGCTGGTTCATTATTCTTTCTACGCAGATTTCGAACCAGTCAATGCAGCTGAGGCATTGAAAGATTCGAAGTGGGTGAAAGCAATGATTGAAGAGTTAGAGTCCATCGAAGTCAATGATACCTGGTCACTTGTCGAATTGCCGCAAGACAAGAAGGAAATTGATGTGAGGTGAGTTTACAAGGTGAAGATAAATCCTAAAGGAGAAGTAACTCGACACAAAGCGAGACTTGTGGCGAAAGGATTTCTTCAGAAGGAAGGAATCGACTTCGATGAAGTATTCACACCTGTTGCTAGAATCGAAACAATCAGGTTGGTTGTTGGTCTAGCAAATATGAACAACTGGCACACATGTCAGATGGACGTGAAATGGGTCATGATGAATGTAGACAGTTTAGACACAATAAATTAGGTGGTGTGTTAAATATAATTCATTGTGTAAATAGATTAGATTTGATATCATATGATTAGATTTGATATCATATGATTAATTTGATATGATATGATTAGATATCATATGATTAGATTTGATTTCATATGATTAGATTTGATATCATATGATTAGATTTGATTTAGAATATTTTGGGCCTTTTATGTTTTGGGCTAGTGTAAACCTAAAACTATAAATAGGGTGCCTTGCTTTTTATTCTACATCACAATAGAACAGATTTCACAGTTGCAGTTAGCAAGTGAAAGTTCAATAAGAAATCCCACAGTTTGTGGGTAACAATTCTCTCCAAAGATTTCTTCTCTCATTCTTCTCTTCTTATTTGTTCTTCTTTTCTTTTGTTGTTCTTGATAATTACTTGTTATTACCATTACTATCACTTGTGGGTTTGTTCATCAATCTTGAGATCAAGATTGAAGGGAATTCTTCATAGGGTGTGAGGTGAATTTCCAACATTTTTCACCTGACAACGTATTCCTTTACCTTGCGAAGTGTTATTCACCTAGAAACTCTTGTGTCAGAAAAAAAGTTAAACCAACCACCTGCCACCCTAACCATTAATAATTGTATCGTTTAATTTTTCCTCCAATTTTTTAAAACTAAGTTGCAGAGTGTTTTTCACTTCCCAACTCTCTTTTTAAAGTTTTCAAATTTCCCTCCCTCTGTTGCGTGAAAAAAATATTTATTTATAAAAAAAACCATGTTGCGAGGTGAAAAACACCCCGCAAGTGTATATTTTTGCGAGGTGAAAAACACTTGGCATAATCACCGGACTAATTCAAGTTTTTCTTGTAGTGATTAGACTTGGAGAATCAATTTTGTATAGTTAAGATTTCAAGTAATTGTTTGAGTCTATATGTTTGTGCAGCATCTGTAAGGTATTTATGGTATAGTAGGAATAACTTAGTGTTTAGAGGTATCTGAGTTTCCGTAAACGATACGATTAATTCGGTTAAGTTTTTTTTGGAGGTAGTTATTTTAGGGCGATATTTATCCTAAGTGTAGGTTTTACGATTGATTTTGTGCACCAATTGATTATCTTAAGCGAAAGTAGCATTTCTGCTTGTTTGTATCGGATTGAGCACCCGTTGTGCTTTTTGTTATATCATTATCTATTTAAAAAAATTATGTCCAAATTTACTGCACTCCCAACATGTTTTTTTTCATTTATATTTAAGGCATATAAGCCATGTAAGTGTTTAATCTAATAATTTTAAATAAATTTAAATCACAAGTTTCAAAATAGTCATTAATATTATGTTAATTAATAATAATTTTTCATTTTTTACTTTCCCTTTTTAATATGAAAATTCTCATCTCCCAAATCCTGCAAATATTTTTCTCCTCATCCTCATTTCTACGAAGAAAAACCATTCACCAACAGAACGTTGAATGAAACGTTCTCCACATTGATCTACATGTATAAATAAACGTTTTTCTTTTGTTGAATAACATGTATATGTATAGATGAAACTTGACATCTCTAATTTGAGATAATTTGGATCCATATGCCGGCTAAGCCTAATTAATACTCCATTTATATATACATTGAACAGAGATTGTGTCTTGTGCTATACTATAAACATCAAAACATAATAGTTTGATATCCATTATTTACAATAACTTAATCACACACACTTATTGTAATTACCTTTAAATTCCAAAGAACCATATAAAAATTAAACAACCTTAGCCTTTGTATATATTTAAACTAACTGGTGGATGTAAACAAATGACAAACAGCATCTAGTGAAAGATTTCAACCCTAACATGATATAATACAAAAGATGTAATTATCATAGTCAAAACGACAAAAACTCTTGAAATATGTCATAACACTTAATATATAAACCGATAAAATAAATTTAAAAATTATAAATATTAATTTCTTGCATTAATAATTGATATCTCTTGGTCAACAAAGCCTCGTACAATTACAAGTTTTGTTTAATGAAAGAAAGAAAAACCACTAATTATTCTATAAAGTAATTGTTCAACATGTGCAAGAATTACTTCATAGTTAAGAGTTGAAATATTTTATATGTTTTGTTTTCTCTTTATCGAAAGGTGACCTAGGTTTCCTATACAATCATCTAACCTACTTGTCTCTCTCTCTCTAGAAGTTTCTCTCTCTATCACATTTCCTCACATCCTCCAAAGATATAGACACAACATTTTAATCTTTAACTTCAACCTATGATTTTTTAAAAGTCTTGAATTAACTATAATTAATGTGGTTTTCAAAGAAATTAAATTAATATTAAAAGTTACATAGTTTAATCCCACCATGAATATTTTATTGGTGTATACTTTCCTAGTTGTGTGAGAATGGCTGCAACTTCCACCACTTTATTTGTCTCTCTGTCTCTCTCTTTCCCTTCCAATCTCATCCTATTCCGTTTTCTCAGCAGTATACTCAATTGATCCATTTGTTTTTCTATTCGTTTTGAGGTTTGAATCATTGGACACTCTTAAATCTAATACTATTTCTTCTTTTTTTTTTATATATAATTTTTTTATTTATTAAGAATTGCTGTATACATATGATATAATTTAATTGTTCATTACTATTCTAAAATTTCTTATTTAATTACTATAATTTTCTATCTTTCTTTTTTGTTTTTCTACTTCTTTAGAACTTTGAGGGTATATGGCCGGCATAGACTTGGGTTCAGCATCACAACACTTTGTTCATCGTCTTCAACGCCCTGACCTAGAAGTTCATGATGAGAGTCAAGATCAAGATGGAAACAATAACCATGAAGGGCTTGATCTAGTTTCACCGAATCACGGTCTTGGTGATGTTGTTGGTCGTAGACCAAGGGGCAGACCTCCAGGCTCAAAGAACAAACCTAAACCGCCGGTGATCATTACAAGAGAGAGTGCAAATACGCTTAGGGCTCATATTCTTGAGGTTAGTAGTGGTTGCGATGTGTTTGACTCGGTCGCTACCTATGCGAGGAAGCGTCAAAGAGGAATCTGTGTTCTTAGTGGGAGTGGAACTGTCACTAACGTGACCCTGCGACAGCCAGCTGCCGCAGGATCTGTAGTGACACTTCATGGAAGATTTGAGATATTATCGTTGTCTGGATCGTTTCTACCACCCCCGGCTCCACCGGGGGCAACTAGTTTGAGTGTGTTTCTTGGTGGAGGTCAAGGTCAAGTCGTGGGAGGAAATGTTGTTGGTCCTTTGGTTGCTTCTGGGCCGGTTATCGTTATTGCTTCGTCGTTTACCAACGTAGCTTACGAGAGGTTACCATTAGATGAAGATGAATCTCTTCAGATGCAACAAGGGCAATCGTCTGCAGGCGGTGGTGGTGGTGGTGATGGTGTTAATAACTCGTTTCCCGACCCGTCTTCGGGACTTCCATTCTTCAATCTACCTCTAAATATGCCTCAATTACCTGTGGATGGTTGGGCTGGAAACTCTGGTGGAAGACAATCTTATTGAGCTTAATTATGTTACAAAGGTGAGTTGAATGAATTTCGTGATTTTAGTTTCCTTTTGAGTTAATCATTTGTGGAGAATTGAGGTCTTGTTTTCTTGATTTAATTTCTTGGCTAGGGTTGTTGTAAGAACTCAGTTATAATTTCTAGGAACAATTGTAAAACATTAATTTCTCTTTGGTTGTTGGAGTTGTTAATTAGATGAATTAGATTCTTGTGATTAACCCTTGAATTGAATAAATCATTGGTTTAATGTATTTGTTTCCATGGATTAGATTTTGATGGAATGAATGAATAACAATGAATCTGAGTTTGCTCTTACATGTTAAAACGAATCAAAATTAAAGTATTGAATTGAAACTATATGGATAACTTAATCTTTCTAATTAATCGACACAGTTTGTCTTTTTTGTTGGCACTCAAAGAATACTTAATTAAAAGAATCCAAACATTATTGCTTTTGACCTAATGAATATTAGCACCTTTCTCTCTTATAATTAATTCCACCATAAACAAGTGGGGAAAAACTAATTATATTTCTTAATTTTTGGGTTGTCATATAGAAGTCGTCTAATAAACATAATTTATTTGAGTTAAAAAATATACTTGATTTTTTTTAGTAGCTCAAACTCCTACACTTACAATCCAACGATTATCAATTAAGTTGGTTTAATCGGATTATATATGATTTATGTATTAATATAATACACAGTTTTTGAAGTATCTAACTTGATCTCTTCTAAACTATCAATTTTAGATTTGGATTCAAGTGGAGAAAAGAAATATGCAGAATGAAGAACAAGTTTACATGTAGAGTGAGAGGGCCAAGATATGATAAAAAATTGAAAAGGCTCTAAGTTAAGTGTGTTATAGCATTTTTTAGGGTTTTTTTACTATAGAATTAGCTGAAGTAATATTTAAAAGAAACATTGTTAGAAGTTAAATAGATTATAATCTTCATATATTACTATATTCATTTATTCAAAGAGATAAAGTGCAAATATATATATATATATATATATATATATATATATATATATATATATATATATATATATATATATATATATATATATATATATATATATATATATATATATATATATATATATATATATATATATATATATATATATATATATATATATATATATATATATATATATATATATATATATATATATATATATATATATATATATATATATATATATATATATATATATATATATATATATATATATATATATATATATATATATATTGATTGCTATATTAAGTGCATATTAAACTGATTATAATTCGTTATTTATATTTAAAAATTCCTAAAGATTATAGTATATCCCTTAACCTGCTCCAGACTAATCTTTAACTAACAAAAAAGCATGTTTAACCATAAAATGTGTGTTAAAAAAGAATAACATGTGCATGTGGTTTAGCCTTCATTAAATTATGTACTTGCATCCAACTTTCCTCTCTTGCTATTTAATGCTTTTTTCGTTCTTTAACAAGTAATGTAATGCTTTGGAACGTATATATATATACTTTTAAAGTATTGATGTGAATTTGTTAATTAGATTTAATAACTCTATAAGGTGATATATATTACATTAATTCAATCAAAAGGTATCTAACGTATATAGTTAACACACTTGAGATTTAAGATATATTTTTTATTATATTTATCTTCGATTTTAAAGTGACTTGGGTGTTAGAGTGTAAACTTTGTAGGTCCACTCTACACCACTGTATCAAAGATCAGCGTCACTAATTCAGAGTCTCACGTCATCAATTAACACTAATTATGGTTTCATAACGAAAAAATGACTCGATCTCTTGAAAATGACTCCTAATTCCCACGAAATTCCATGGATAGACCATCATTGATCCAAGGTCAAATCTCAACTAGAACCACCGAGAAATGAAGATAATCGTCTCTTGTGTCGTACTTAAGTGATCAGCTGAATTCTCTAATCCTGTTCCACCTTAATTTTTGGTCATCTATGAGATCCATGCCATGACAACATTTGGTTGAGGTCCGCTACTTAAGCACCTCCTCCAAGCATTAGCTAAAACCTGATTACGAAGCGAAGATGAATCAATGATAGGATTTCTAGATCACAAAAAGATAAATAGAGCCCCGAGCACATAGTTATTATTAGTTCTAACAAGTATTGTCGTGAATCGAACGATATCAGAATTGCTCGTAGACGACAAAAGTTTTGTAACGTTATCTACTCCGACACGCTCGAGCAATTAAGTATCTGACAACTAGATCAGAGTCCATACATTGGCAGAAATTATTTTCCTTCAAATATTCGGTAACTCACCCTTGCGGAATGATAAATCTAACATTATCACTTAGAGAAGGAGAAAGCGAGAGAAAGCTAACCCTTAGATTCCTAGTAATTCCGTTTAAGAGTGCCTATAATGGCATTCTTGGTAGATCCTTTCTGACAATGTTAGAAGCTATGGTTTCTATGGCCCACCTAAAGGTATTGTATCATAATAACGAAAGGAAAACCATTCATGGTTAACAATGAACTAAAGGAGGCAAGGCGTATCAGAGAATTCACAATTATAAACATCCTCGCCTTTTAGCACGTAAACCTTTAATTCACAGTGAAGCACTTGCATCTAGTTGCGCCATCTAGCTTTCTGCCTGCACTTAACCCGCCTACGAATGGGCCTAGCAAGCCTGGATTTTCATGGTTTTGCTCTAGCTTGGCTTTTGCATGCTAGATTGTGGTTTTCTAGTCCTTTTTAACTGTTTTCAATTAATAAATACTAGAAAAGTAAAAAAAAAAAAAAAAAAAAGATGTTTTCTCACTTTTCATATATAAATTGGGGATTTTTGTATCGATTCCTTCCAAAATAAGTTAATAAGTGCCGACACATTTCATGTAAATCTGACACTTATAAACTCTTCCCACTTATCTTGTTGTTTGTCCTCAAACAAAATTATTTAGATGATTCACAGAAGCTTTGAATGCATGTTTCATTAACAAGGTTGATTGACTCAGGTTAAGAGTTTTGAAATGGTTTTTTATGGCATGGTATTCTTTCTAATGCAAGTTTATAATCAATATCATGACTATACATAAAATATAACATTAAGATGAAATATTTTCTTGACCAAAGTAATATTTTTTTAAACATATGTAGATCCACGGCTAATCATTTATCAAGATCACGATCACTTTGAGTATTTCTTAATGGTTAGTGTTTTGCTTAAAAATCAGACAAATATGTGTATTATTGTAATACTTTGCATTTCATCTAAAAAATATCACAAGATATATCATCAGTCATGGATTACTAAGGTCTTTCTTTAGATTGTAACGTGGTTGAGCTTACAAAATTATTGATTTTTCTTTGGATTCAAAAAAGCCTAAAGATAAACGAGCTTATACTATTTCTTTTTAAAAACTTCTCTTAGTTTCATTCCCATTTCCTTACAACCATTTTCTTTTGGTGTCTTTTTCTTTTGTATGTTTGACTTTTTCTTTTTGACTCTATTGTTGTCAAAACATTTTTCTTTTCTTTCATCACACCGGTATTACTTGAGATTTTCTTTTGCAAAACTTGTCATTTTTTTATTTTTCTCCCCAACTTTTTTTTCAATACCCTTACTTTTACATGCTATCATATCCTTAAGATAAGGTAGTGAACATTTTATTTCTTTTAAAATTCGCTAAGGGTGTAACTTTGAAAGAACAATAAAATTTTCATTATATGACTCAAAGGGGTTTGTCAAATGATTCACACTCTCACAAGGTAGACTTTTAGGTCAAGTAGTTTTCATTAAATAACAAACAATATGTTGATCATATTCGTGACTTTCAACCACATCGAGTAATTAGAAAGAATGTTGCAAAGTCTACATAGTTGGCATACATGTCTACCCTTAGTATTTTAGTAACCATGAGATTACACACATCTCATTTGGGTTTTCTCATGATTCATGAATAAAGCAAGGAATTCATAATCATATTATAATTCACATATATTAAGACATTAATCATGAATGGAGCATTTAAACAAAATAAAAACATTTGTCATGTCATTTGTTCTTCGACCTTGGTTGTCAATCTATCATTTACGGTTCCATGCATTTTTCCTATTTACATCATCATCATCATCATCTAAACCATCTGCAGACAATTTGTTTTGGCAGTATTTGTTTATTAAAAAAATCAAAAATTGACACTTAATCACGAAAACAATTAAAGTTAAATAGGTATGAGTTTAGCCTTAACCATCTTTGCATTTCACTCCCTATAGAAAACATTTTCCTATCCTTAAGTAACAAAAGAATGAGTGGAATATGTATGTATTGACTCTTAATTTCGACGCCTGAATAGGATTAAAAGTAGGAAATAGATTTTCTAAAGAAATTTAATGACTTCGACTGAAGCCATACTTTTGGAATATGAGTCGAAGGCACCCTTTCGCCAGGAGAATCTATGTTACAGACTTAGAGATATTTCTTAGCAGTTGGAAGATTCAATTCGACAGAAGTGCCACTGAAGGCATTTCGACAGGAAGGTTTGAATTCAAATAAAGGAGGGAAAGTTCGATCTCATCCATTCCTCAAAGAAGCAATGTGGAGCGCTTCTAGGATTCGAAGGCATGCAGAGAGAACTTGTCTCGATTTCGTTTGCTAGCCGTTAATGGCAGTTATTTTTTACACCACAATTGTACAACAAGTTCGATGTAACAACGTAATAGCAGATAATAAGTTGGTTGTCATTGTCAAAAGAATCATGGCACGAAACGGAGTAAATTGTGGCCTTCGGCGGCCAAATTATACCTCATCGTTATCCGAATACATCCTTCAGTCAGATTTACCCCCAAGAACAAAGGTTCCTTAGTTTACTAAGTTTTCTGGGGATACCACTGAGTCCACTTTCGAACATGTGGCTAGGTATTTGATAGAAGCATGAGACATCTCGAATGATGATAACCTTAAGGTAAAATATTTTCCAAGTTCTCTTACAAAGA